GCTAGGAGCTGGAACCAACTTCCAAGGGAAGTGGTGCTGGCCCCTACCCTGGGGGTCTTTAAGAAGAGGCTGGATGCCTACCTGGCTGGACTCATTTGAGTCCCGTTTTTGTTTTGGGGTTTTGTTGTTCTCCCGCCCTGGCGGGGGGTCGGGCTAGAAGATCTACTAGGTCCCTTCCGACCCTAAATCTATGAAACTATGAAACTTGAAGATTCAGAGAACTGAAACTTGACAGCTTTATTCTAACTAAGCAAGCTCATTTACTTGGGTTTGGTAGCAGAAATGTTCTTTAGAGACAGGGCCTGTAACTTCAGCCTGCTCTACTCTGTTAGTGAGAAATATACCTGGAGAGAGAGAGAAGGCAGGAGAGGCAATATTGGAAAGGAAAAAGATAGCCTGCCCTACCACTAGAGTATATTGACATTCTATTTCTATCCATTTAATTGTTTTTGACCACTTGGTTAACTTGGCTCTGTCTCAGGCCAGGCTTTAGCTACAATGAGAACTTCACTGATTTAAATTTAATTAGTTTAGAAATTGATTTAAGGTATGTATAAACTGAGCTGCAGTATAATGAAGAGAGATCTGAGGTAGCTTTAAATAAACTAGGTCAGGTAGAGCATTCTAGCCCAGTGGTTCTCAAACTTTTTGACTCAAGACACTTTCCTGCCTCCCCCCCACCCAAAAAAACTTTTCAGAATTTAATGGAAGCCCATTAAAAAACTAACATAAACATATCATGATTATTGTATTATAAACAGAATCCTAGTTTTAATCCATATTTATTATTTTATTCATATGAATAATTTGGACTGTAAGGGATAGAGTCCAGGATGCCTGGCCAGCAGGGACAAAGTACTGGGCTGCACATGGAGCAGATGGGGAGTGTTGGGGTGTGGGGAGGGGACTGGCTAAGGGTTTCCTGCAGCACAGTGCCACAGATGCTTCCCAGTCTGGCTCTGCAGGGGCATGTGGCATATACCCACCTGGCCAGTGACAACCAAAGTGCATGGGCTTGCAGTAGCCCTTCCCAGTCCAACCCTGCATGGTGTCTTCTGGAAACAGAAGCATGCAGGGCAGTTTCACCCTGTGGCAGTGCTGGGATTGTAACATCCTTGAAAGCGCCTTGGTTGAGAACAACACCCTGGTTGAGAACCATTCTTCTAGACACAGGAGCACAGTAAAGATAAGGGTAAATTACTCAGCTTCATAACAGTTCCCTACACTGCTGTGGCTGGGCTGTTTCTGGTACGTGTTATAGCAGCCTTGGGTATCTATCCACTACGGTGCAGTCTACAGAGTAGATCTGCCCTTAGTAAAATGGATGTGTAACCTCCTTTCCTTTAAGAATCTCATATTCTTAAAAAAATAGAGGAAGGAGTTTTGTATACATTTATTTATGCTGGTTTATAACAGCAAATTGGTTTATGCTGTTTGGTGAGTTTGAAGCATTCCTGTGCTCCAGGAATCCTCGCATGCTGGAATGTTTCTTGGGGATCTATTGGCACCAGGACTGGTTTAAACATCAATTAAATTAAATCCTTAGTTTATAACCAAAGCTATAGTAGCATATATTTGCAACGCATAGGGGGTACACCCCCTGAGAAAAGCGCTGCAGCATCAGTGGTGCCTGTGGGTGGTTGCTGCTTGCCACCCTGCCCACCCATTACCATTGGTGGCGGCTGTGGGCACTTGCCAATTGCTGCTGGCCGCCACTGTTGGCGTCATCTGTGGGTGATCTTCAGTTGGCACTTGCCACCACCCTACCCCACTGCCATGACCGCTTGGGGGAGCTTGCTGCCACCACGCCCCCACTGCTGACACTGCTGCTGACACCTGCAGGTGGTCACTGCTCCCCCAGCCTCTGGGGGCGTGCATTGTTCCATGGTTGCATTGTTCTGGACCACTTTCAGAACACGTTTTAAAAAATTGGTCAGGTTTGTGCAATTTGATTGCCAGTTCTTTAAAATACTGTGCAGTAGCCTTACATTTTTGGGGGTGAACAGTCTTCTGACATCTCTCTAGA